TAATTTAACTGTTTGTTTCTTTTGATTCAAGACTCATTCTCAGACATCTGGGTTCAGATGCCTGCTCTGCCATTTTTAGGTTGTTGACCTAGGTGACTTTTTAGCATTTTCTGTGACATAGTTGTCTCGTAGTAACATGGGAAAAAAATCTCTCTCTCTATCTATCTATCTATTATGTTGTTATTTGAATTAGAACATGTAAAGCATTTGGAGTAATGCCCAGCACATGGGGAGTGTTCCAAAACTTTAGTCATTGCTGTTGCTGTGGTCATCACAGTTTTTAGTTTCTGACCTTTCTTTAAAGCTGCTATGGACATTGTCATCTCGAAGACACAACTCTTATACTAGCTCATCTGGACACTCAGTTGATATATTGAACATAATATCTAACACTTATACACATAACCACTTATTCATTTCTTTGTGTATTTCTTGCATTGTACACAAAAATGAGAAGTGTACACTGATTTACAGGATATCATAATCTCCTGTTGAATTTTATAACAAGCTAAAATTAGGGACACATGACTTTCTCACAGATGCCTTGCGTGGATATGTGAAAACACACACTTCAATCAAATTGATGTGACAGTTCTCTCCTCTTCTCATTTTATGTATAGATAAGAGCTCTCCCATTGCTCCTTGTTGAAATGTGTTTTTCTTTTCAGGGACCTTTGACATTCAGAGATGTAGCCATAGAATTCTCTCAGGAGGAGTGGAAATCCCTGGACCCTGTGCAGAAAGCTTTGTACTGGGATGTGATGTTGGAGAACTACAGGAACCTGGTCTTCCTGGGTAAGCATAATTTTGCTCCAGAAGTTAAGATCTGCCCTTGTGCATTTTTGTGTTTTCTCTCTTGGGAGCCCTATCCATCATTTGACTGAAACTGAAGCCTTGTTGACTCACAGATAAAAAGCTTCATAATGCTGCATCTGGACTTTCACTTCCCATATCATCACACTACCTCCTTTTGGAATATCTTCCCTTGTTGTCCTGTGCCCATAGTATAATTCCCATATTTAAGTATTAGTCAGTATAATGCTACTTTTTTTTTTTTTTTTTTTTTAAATGGAGACAGAGTCTAGCTTTGTCACCTGTAGGGACTAGTCCCACAGGGTCGGTGGGTTTTTCTCCCCATGTGCAGAGACGAGAGATCGTAGAAATAAAGACACAAGACAAAGACATAAAAGAAAAGACAGCTGGGCCCAGGGGACCACTACCACCAAGACGCGGAGACCCGTAGTGGCCCCGAATGCCAGGCTGCGCTGTTGTTTATTGGATACAAGACAAGGGGGCAGGGTAAGGAGTATGAGCCATCTCCAATGATAGGTAAGGTCACGTGGGTCACGTGTCCGCTGGACAGCGGGCCCTTCCCTGTTTGGCAGCCGAGGCAGAGAGAGAGAGAGAGACAGCAGACAGCTTACGCCATTATTTCTGATGTATAGTGTCTATATATTAGAGACTTTTAGTACTTTCACTAATTTTGCTACTGCTATCTAAAAGGCAGAGCCAGGTATACAGGATGGAACATGAAAGTGGACCAGGAGGGTGACCGCTGAGACACAGCATCCCAGGGAGACGGTTAGGCCTCCGGATAACTGCGGGTGGGCCTGACTGATGTCAAGCCCTCCACAAGAGGTGGTGGAGTAGAGTCTTCTCTAAACTCCCCCGGGGAAAGGTAGCAGGTGTTTTTCCTTGGCACTGACGCTACTACTAGGCCACAGTCCTCTTGGCAACGGGCGTCTTCCCACACGCTGGCGTTACCGCTAGACCAAGGAGCCCTCTAGTGGCCCTGTCTGGGTGTGACAGAAGGCTCACACTCTTGTCTTCTGGTCACTTCTCACCATGTCCCTTCAGCTCCTATCTCTGTATGGCCTGGCTTTTCCTAGGTTATGATTGTAGAGCGAGGATTATTATAATATTGGCATAAAGAGTAATTACTACAAACTAATGATTAGTGATACTTACATATAATCATATCTGTGATCTATATCTAGTATAACTCTTGTTATTTTATGTATTTTATTATACTGAAACAGCTCGTGCCCTCAGTCTCTTACCTCGGCACCTGGGTGGCTTGCCGCCCACAGTTGCCCAGGCTGGAGTGCAGTGGCATGAACTCAGCTCACTGCAACCTCCGCCTCCCGAGTTCAAGCAATTCTCCTACCTCAGCCTCCTGAGTAGCTGGGACTACAGGCTCACACCACCGCACCCGGCTAATTTTTTGTATTTTAGTAGTGATGGGGTTTCACCCAGGATGGTCTCAAACTCATGAGCTCAGCAGTCTGCCCACCTTGGCCTGCCAAATTGCTAGGATTACAGATGTGAGTTACTGCATTACTTCTAAATAAGTCTTTGTTTTCTTCCAAAGTCAGAATTTTAACTATTCTTTAGGCAAGTACATACCCACAGCTCTGCAAGCACAAACCCTGCTGCCCCATGCTCATAACTCTTTCCCCTCCCCTCATGCCCTTCCTCCTCCCTTCCTCTTCTGAACATATTACTTTGGTCCAGATGGACTACCCAGTCACTTACTAGCGTATTAATTTTACACTCCCATTATTGCAGAACTCCCTCACCTTCCACGCTACACTCAGCGTGTAAGGGATGACGCCTACTCATTCACTTGACAACTTTCTGAGAACACTGGCTACATCAATATGTGCAGGGGATGATGACTCAGATACCGTTATTCATGAAGGATGACTGAATAATGTTTTGGCAACACACCTTGGCTCTTGAAGTATTTCTGTTTTTTTTCTTTTTTTGAGATGGAGTCTCACTCTGTCACCCAGGCTGGAGTGCAGTGGCGCGATCTCAGCTCACTGCAAGCTCCGCCTGCCGGGTTCACGCCATTCTCCTGCCTCAGCCTCCTGAGTAGCTGGGAATACAGGCGCTCACCACTACACTTGGCTAATTTTTTGTATATTTAGTAGAGATGGAGTTTCACTGTGTTAGCCAGGATGGTCTCGATCTCCTGGCCTCGTGATCCGCCTGTCTCGGCCTCCCAAAGTGCTGGGATTACAGGCGTGAACCACCGCGACCGGCCAGCTCTTGAAGTATTTCTTTCTACACTCTTGGTATTTGGGTGACCAGTTATCTGCACTGCCTGTTTGACCAGTTTTATTTAAAAACATGTTTGATACTGGAAACCCAGGTTCACGTCTTACTTTCTTTGTAATTTGGGTGTAGATACATAAATCCTGTGGGCAGACTTACTGTCCTTATTTGTAAAATAGTGATAATTTATCTTAAGATTTTT